AATGGTTTGCTCTTAATCTTTATGCATCTTGAAGGAACAAGTGAAGAGTCATTTGCTTTTTATTTCTTTAGTCACTGCAGAAGTAAATAATACTACTGACCTCCCAGAAAGAAATCATGGTTAAGATCCCAATGAGATGAGGGCAATGTCATAACTCAGTTTGGGAGCACACATCCCAAATCAAACACACAGTCTGTTGCCCTGCACAAATTACTTAGCTAAGCAGGAAAGTCAATAAAACAGGGTCTTTGGGTACTGAACAGAAGGTTGGCCTTGATACCCACGTGGAGATAGCAAAAGAAGCATCCTTTGTTAATAATGAACATAGACAGGATAAGTTCACTTTGGTTGCTCAATGCCCTGAATTCTGTAGTGGTTTAGATTTTCAGGTCTTGATTTCACAAATTTTATCTTACTCTTTAAGTTTTCAATGTCAGGTAGAAGTGAATAGTCCTGAGAATAATGAGAGAAGATTATCATTACTAAGTGGCATTTTATTAAGATAGAAAATACTCTTGTGACATCATGTGAGAATAATATTTATTTGCATCTTTGATGCTGAGAACATTGATAATGAAGCACAGCTGCAAGGTATGGAAATTTTCAAAATAAGATGAAGGCTTCTATAAGTTACACAGAACACCACAGTAGTGGAGGCAAGTAGCAGAGCTAGAGCTGAGCTCTCAGCCTGTCCTATGGAAAGTTAGATTATCAAAGAGCTCCAGTGTCAATACTCAGGAAAAAAGTTAATAGAGAAAAGAGTTTTTAGGACTGGAGATGGAGGAGAGATGCTGTGCATTCCCACTGAACTTAGGTTCTCTGGAGTCAGTAGAGAAAGTGTTCTATGGATTTATTGGACATTGAACCTCCCTTCTGTAGGGTCCATACAGACAGACAGAATGAGTCTTAGATCATTGTGGCTCTTTTGGCTTGGTTTTACAGTGAGAAAGATGAATGTAAGCAGTAATCATGTGTTGGGAGACACTTGTGACACATTAGGTTAACGATCCTCTTCTCTTAATTCTCTTAATCCTCACATTACTTGTGTCCTAGTTAAAAATTAAAGGCCTTGAACATAAATTCAGCACTTTGTCTGTACACAGCAGTCCTGCATCCAGGGATTTAGTGACATTTCAGGCACCAAGAAAACATGTAAATTTGAATTCAACATTACCTCCTGTATCCTGTACTGGTATCAGCAGAGCTGCACACGAGGTGATTCTTACTCTGTATTATGAACCAATATCTTAACTGCACACTTTTCCCTTCTTTGGTTATTTCTGTCAGCTAGCAAGTATGCAAATATATACATAGATATTGTACCACTATAACTTTCATGTACAGAACATACCCAGAATACTGACCAGTGGACTTGGAAAATATGCCAGTGCTTATTATGCTCATGAATGAAAGGAAATGCCAGGACCTCTTAATGTATAACATTCTGAGCCTGCTCATTAATGCAAACCCACTAGGAAAATGTCTCATGGCAATTTGACCTTTCCCAAACAATTACTCCTTATTCATGGTCAATTAGAAGGGCTTTCCTCACTTAAAAAAATATGAGGACCAACTAATCACATACCTAAAATAAAGTTGTTGAAATGACAGTTGATTTTTTTTCTGATAAGTCAAATCTATGTATTTCATTCCCTCAGCAGGGAATAAATGCCTACATGGAAAACTCCTTTTACAAAGATTTAATATAAAATGGACACAGGAAATTGCCTGTTAATTTAGTGTTTTCATGTCTTTGCCAATGGGTGTTCGATTTTTGATACAACACTCTCAGTACAATACTCCCCTGCCTTGGATATGCAGTACAAAAACAACATCTGGGGAGTTCAGTGAAAAACTTTGTGGGAAGATAAGAGGTGGCTGAAATTCGAGTTGCAGTTTTTATTGCAGACATCAGCTTTTAAATCCATTGTATTGTTTAACCTTCAATGTGGTTACTCTGGGGGTATATTTCATTTCAGTGTCTTATTTTGTGTCCTCTCTGGATTCCCAACACCTGAATGATAGTGCTGTAGACTAAACTTTATGCTGAAATTCAATCTTCAGAGTTTGTACTTGTAGAGGTTTTATAAAATAATTGTCTTCTGATGTGAAAATCTCATCTACAAAGCAAACTGGTGAGGTTTCACAAACAATTCCTTTATGATGTAAAATACAAGTGTATTTTGTGTTCTGCGACAAATTTTTTCACATAAATTTTCATATTTTTATGTGCATATGAATTCACAGATTCATAGAATAAGTTTGATTGGAAGGGACCTTTAGAGGCCATCTAATTTAACCTCTTTACAGTAAAGAGAAACATCAACTGGATTAGATTGCTCAGAGTCCCATTCAATCTGACCTTCAGTGTTTCCAGGGATGCAGTACCCACCACCTCTCTGGGCAACATGTTCCAGTGTTTCACCAATCTCATCATAAAAAAAAGTGTCTTCTTTACATCTAGTCTTAAAATCAATATATATTGATGTCATATATAAACCCAACATTTTAAATGCAAAGGGTTGGGATTTTGTTTTTCATTTCACTGACTAGCAGGTCAAGGGAGGTAATTCAATTCTGAACTCCACTCTTGTCACAACCCATCTGGAGTACTCTGTTCAGCTCTGGGCCCCCCAACACAAAAAAGACAAGACCTGAGTCCAGAGGAGGGCCATGAAGACGGTCAGAGGGTGGGAGCCCCTCTCCTATGGAAGCAAGAAAGAGTTGGGCTTGTTTTGCCTGGAGAAAAGAAAGCTCTGGAGAGAGCCTTATGGAGATTCCAGTACCTAAAGGGGGCCTACAAGAAAGTTGGACAGGGACCTTTTACAAAATCATGTAGTGACAGGACAAGGGAGAATGGCTTTAAACTGAAAGTGTAGATCTAGGTTAGCTATTGGCAGGACATTCTTTACTGTGAGGGTGGTGAGGCACTGGAATAGGTTACCTAGGGAACATACATTGTGAATGCCCAATCCCTGGAAGGAGGCTGGATGGAGCCCTGAGCAAGCTGGTGTAGTGGGAGATGTCCCTCCCCATGGCAGGGGTGTTGGACTAGATAGTGTTTAGGCTTCCTTCATCCCAAACCATTCTATGATTCTGTGAAATGTCTAGGTCTTCCATGTTTCATCCATAGTTCTTAACTTCTTAGGATTAAATTTTATTGAAGTTTTGCATAGACAGAGGAAAATCTTGGTAAAACCAGCTGCAAATCATTGTACTGCTGATTTCATCATGTCACTTGTGTAGGCAAGTCTTGCAGCAGTAACACAACACTTGTTAGACAAAGAACAGGTCAGTTATCCCTGGGTTTGGGACGGATGCTGTGCCCCTGTAGGTGCTCAGCAGCCCCTGATGTGAGCCCATTTACTAACAGGAACCAACACAAACTGTTGGGTCACTTGCTGTCTGTCTCTTTCAGCTGGAGACACAGCGATTGCTAAGAACTGGCAGCTTATGAAAACAGGTGATACATGCTCAGAGATCATCTTGCTATGCCCTCAAGGCCTTATAAGTTACTTTGCTTGTAATAAGAGGATGCCAGAAGACCTTTATAGTCTATGTATAGACCAAATGTGGATATATATACACAGCTATGTGCCAGGCATGCAGTATATATATGGATGTATACATCTCCTTCAAATTTGCTGCAATTTCAAAGCCACTTCAGTACATCTTTCTCCTGCAGTTATCTTTCTAAAATATAATCTGCCTAACAAATGCCATCACAATCGTAGGCTCGAGTGTGTGCTCTCGTGCTGAGAGAGATGTCTGTGGAGCTGCAAGCTCATCCCATCAGTAGATCATCCTGCATTAATGCCTCAAGCACTAATGCTAGCAAAGCTGTTCTGAGTTCTCTTAACTGATAAGTGACTCTCACTCCTTATCAGCATAACAAGTAATAGCAAGAGCTTTGTAAACAGAGAACATCACTAGGCCTTGCTTTTGTAATCTGTCCAAATCCTTAATCACACGAGAAACATGAGGACATGGCAAGAGAAGAGCGTCTAATGAAATGAGGTGGCAGGACAATTGCCACCTCATTCAGTCAGTGATATTCCCATTGCAAAACTTTGCTCTCCTTTCATATTTTCATCGGCCACTGGGAGGAAGTTAGGATGTAGGAAAAGGAAGAGTTCTTCACCAGGGGAAAAATTTTTTTTCTTAATGCTGGTGATTTTGCCTGAAGGGGGCTGCTAAAAGTTCCACATGAGGAATGGTATATCACTGGGAAAGGACAAAGTCACCAGTTTGGGCAGGTGGCTGATGGTGGAGGCCATCATTTTTTCACATCATTATTGTGAAGCCATTGTGGCCAGGTAGCTGCAAGCCAAATTGAAAGAGCCACATTCCTGGCACTTTAGATTTGGATTTCAGCTACAGTTATCACATATCCTAGATCCATGCCATGCCCCAATGGGAATATCATAAAAGTTCTGCTTTAGGTGCAGTAGATGGCTTCTTAAGGTTTGAATATTTTTTCATTGCTGCTGTTGTCTTTTGGGTAAATTGACACAGTTTGCATGGGGGCGGGGCTTTAATTTTATTTTTTTTTTTTATTATTTTTTTGTAATCACATTTTGATGATTACTGGCAAATAAGAGATTTAACTTTGCGCAGAGGGAAGGAGAATTGCTCTGGCATACAAGTGTTCCAAGCAGAGAGCTCAGAGCTCCAATCTCCCCTTTCAGACAATATAAACTGACAGTGTGATTATGTACCTTCAGAATAAGAATGTGCTTTAGAGGCTCAGGAAATACTTGCCAAGCATAACTATTAAACATAGAACCCTCAGAAATCCTATCACTCAAGCATGTGTATGAGGTATTTTATTCCAGTAGTCCTTCTTGGTGATGGCATTAACATTTTCATACTTAGATAGTGTTAACCTTGTTGTTAAAAATGTTTCAGTGGAAATACTATGTATATGTTTTTTTCCATGTTCGATGTTTTTTATGCTTGCTTCAACATAGCTAATTTGGTTTTATCCTGTTTTACCTCAGCAGTTAAGATCATGGAAGAACCAGAATCATCAGGTGATGACATTTTTGTTACAGCCAGCACTTACGAAAGGTTGCCTTTCTTTACTGGCCCAAGTGATGTCTCTACCGTGCAGCCTGGAGCTGTTATTACAGACGTGCTGCCGTCAATAGCACCGCTGCCTGCAGCCACCAGCCCGTCCTACAGCCCCTCTGAGATCATCGAGCAGTCCCTCGAGTCACCAGATTCCTCAGCTCCAGCCCCTGAGGGCATTCCTGTGGATGGCACCGGGATGGGCGTGCAGGACATCGCTGCTGAGCTGGACCAGATGGGCGCGGTGAGCACGGCAGCGCTGGACGAAGGCGAGCAGGGCAGTGGTTTCATCTCGGTGCTGACCACCGAGCCCGCAGAAACCACCCCAGCACCGGTGCTGAAGTATGTAACTACCAGCACCATGACAACTGCAGCCAAAGGCAAAGAGCTCGTGGTTTTCTTCAGCCTGAGGGTAACCAACATGCACTTCTCTGATGACCTCTTCAACAGGAGTTCGACGGAATACAAAGCACTGGAGCAACAGTTCATGCAGCTGGTGGGTGAGAATCAACTGGAACAACACGTGTGGTAGTTGGGTGCAGTTTAAAGGAATACACTGAAGTGCACGCTATTTTAACAATACTAAACCCTACTAGGGCTCAATCTGATAAGCTGTATTTTAAAGGATCCATAAGCCTGGGATGCTCTTTTAGAGTATGAAGACAGAGTTTATGAAGTCCGTGATGAAAGATTTTACTTGATCAAGAGAACTCAGATACACACCTAGCATATAATTTATTTGGCTTTTTCTTAGATTCACGTCAACTGATTATATCTGAGGCTTGTGTCTGCTTGCTGCATTTAAAAATAGGCTTTTAAAAATATATCATAGCATAGGCTGTGATTAGATATGGATTTTCCCTGTTGGTACAATAGGGCACAGGTCAGCTCAGTAACATGTCTATTATACTATGCCCTAACCTGCCTGGATTGAATGTTTGAAAATAATTAAAGTTGGCTTTTGAATGAGGTAATTTTTTTCTCTTCCAGATGAATAAACTTCCCAGCTGCTATGCATTTCATTACAGGGGAAACTGCTGCCCATCCATCTCAATATATTATTAAGAAAAGAGCAGAAATCAAGAAGAAGATACTGCTAAACAGAAAAGTTAATTTGTTGGTGGAGCTTAACAGTTGTATTAAACTCAGGGAAATAAATCTGTGATGTGTGTACTTGATAATGAAAATTGACTATAAGAGAAATTAATAGCAGGTAGACACTGACAGTAAGTTAAAATAAAGGCAAATCTCTGTTTTGCAGCTCCTTCCATACCTTCAGTCCAACCTTACGGGTTTTAAGCACTTGGAAATTCTCAACTTCAGGAACGGAAGTGTGATTGTGAACAGCAAAATGAAATTTGCCAAGACAGTGCCATACAATATCACAGAAGCAGTACACTGTGTTTTGGAAGATTTCTGTGATGCTGCAGCCCAACACCTCAATTTGGAGATTGACAGCTATTCCCTGGACATTGAGCCAGGTAAGATTGCATTACCAATGTAGGTGTAAAATCAAAATTAAACAGACAATCTTTTTTCAGACAGTTACAGCTTCAGAAGTATAACTATCTTGGAAATAAACACATTAGCAATAGTCTCCCAGTGATAGGGGATAATAAGACAAAAAAAGATATTGCAAATTCTCTGCAGAGGTATTTTCATACTGTAATGAAAAGCTGGGTGGAGCTGTCGGGCTGTGCATGTTCACCAGCTGCTTTTCAGAGACAGAGTGATCTCTAGAACAAGTGCTGGGTGAAGACAGGTATAAGAAAAACTCGTGTGCAGTTTGCAGGAGTGACATGCAAGCCTTGCACTGGAGTATGGAAACATAATTTCTGATGATTATTGCAATGTTGTAAGAAAACAATGGTTTAGAGCATCATTAAATCTTTTTTAAAGGGATACAGCATTCAAAATAAAAGGAGACAATATTTAGGAATAATTGGATTCTACAGATACTCACTAATTGGAGCATGACTTTATGTAGTACTCCATAGATTTGTAATTCTAGAATCTCTCTGGATTTATATCTTTCAAATACGTCTGTAGTCTTTGTTAAACAGTAGAAAGTCAGTAACTACACATCTGGACACTGTTCTTATATCAACAGCTTAGTGTTTTCAATATAAAATTGAAGCCTGAATCTATTTTCAGGCTCTGGTAATTTTTTCAGGATTGAATTTAATTTCATTGTCATGGAGAAGAACAATAGCAAGGGTATGCAGATGCCTTCAGGAGTTTTAGTTAAGCTGTCTGTTTATGTACAGCTCTATGGCAATTCTGGAACAAAAAAACATTCATTTACAATTCAGGCAGACAGTTTCTAACCAGTTTTCATTTTACATATGTCTTTGTAGTCACTAAAAGAATGGGTAGCTTGTGGTAAAGAAAGTAAACAAGATCACAGTATTCTGCCCTTCAAATACTGCCATGATAAACTGCTGTTTGATGAATAAACTATTAAATTAGTTTATTATATGAAAAGTGAACTTTGGGCTGTGATACATGCCCTGCTTTAGTTATAAATTTTAATTAAATAAAAACTAAAATAAGAAAGATCCTAAAATTCAAATTCAGAAAAAAATTAAAACCTTTCATCTTCATCTCATATGCTCTACTGATGTGGTATTTCAACATTAATTCAAGAAAACAGAGTTTATTACAGAGGGTTTGTAGAGAAAGTTGTTTTTTCAAGGCTTATAAGCAGTAGCATAGAGTCAAAATAAAAGAAATTGTGTTTACAAAGCCAGTATATTCCAGTACAGGTATTTCAAAGCCTGATGCATTTTCGTTTTTGAAAACAAACAAAAAAATAAACCCCAACCTGTGCAGCAAGTTAAGGCAATATAACCAAATCCCTCTTTATTGTGAAACTGAGAGCCATCTAGTGGTAATGATGCTCTACCAAAGTGAAAACACGGATGGGAACTAACAGTCCAAAATCCAAATCAAGAGTCAGCAAGTGCAAAGGGCTGACTGCACTGCTCATAAATAATACCATAAAGAAGGACTTTTAAAAATACGAAATATTTCTTTAATCTAAATGAAGCAAAACCAGAAAATATAACAAAGTATGCATATATGTGTTAAGGAAGATGAAATATTATCACAAAAACTCAGCCCAGCCAAATGCTCAAGCCAAGCTCTACTTGTTGTTCAGATGTGCACACACTCACAGCCCAGGAGCAAAGGACATATCAAACCAACATGCACATTGTTTATAGCAAAGGGGAATGGTGCACACTAAAACCCACTGGTCAAAAATTCAAAACAGGAAAGAGCCATGAAATTATAGAGGGAAGGGATTATAAATGGACAGCTCTGACATATTCATTTCTACCACTGCAGCATATCCCAGTGTGTGTGTCTGAGATTTCCTCTATAACAAATGCAATCCTCATTTTTCATTTAAATTAGTATTATTGAGCATCTGGTATAGAGAGCATGAATGGCTGCAGAAGAAAACTTTTAGCCCAGTTATAAGCTGCAATATCCAGCATAAATCTTCCTTTTAAACTTCATAATTATAAAGGGCCACATAGCCCAACTCATACCTATATATCTATTCTCATTTCTTGCTCTGCTCTCTTTTCCTAGTTGGTCCACTTTTATTTTTTTTTTTTCCTTTCTGGATTCATACATCTTACTGGGGCTGTTTGATGGCAAGAACAGGATTTTTATCCCCTGGGCTACTTCACATTTTACGAGACTTTTTATTTTGCCTTCTAAAGTTTTTGCCCCGTGGTACACAGGAAATAGGCTCCATGAGAAGAGTGAGGTGGATGCAGCCCTCCTCCTCCTCATCTCATGAATCAGCTCAAGTTGGGTTGAGGGTTGAGCACTGGGTTAAAATCACTCTTTCTGGGTCTTGTTTTTTTGATTCATTACTAGTAAGAAGCAAAGAATGGGAAAGGAGTAGTAGGCTTGAGTAACAGCTGTCTCTGATTTGGGCCTTTCCATGAACATCAGGAGGGTTCTTTTCCCTTAATCTCACAGAGGCGTCTCTTACTAATACCCAAAACACAAAGCAAAAACCCAGCAAGCCTTTCCAATGTCAACATACCACAAAACAACAAAACTTAAACAAACAAGACAAAAACAAACAAACAAAGCCCAAAACAACAAACAAACAAAAAACCCACACACAAAAAAACCCTACACTGCAAGGCCTGTAAGCATATCTTTTCATAGGAATTTGACAGTGTTTCTACATTGCAAGTCTTAGTATTGTGCAATATTCAATAATCTAATTCCATTCCTCTGTCATGTCCTAAATTATATGTTTAAGATCATTACAGTTGAAATTATTTCTCACATATAAATAAGGCTGTAGCACAGGATCTGTATGATGCTAGCACTCACAGCAAAAACAGGGTAAAAACATCCAAATGTGAAATTCCTTGTCAGTGAGATGAAAACAAACCCACTGCTTAACAGTGATGGGGTAAATCAGTGCAGATGTCAACATGAACTTGCATGCTTGGTGTGTCCTTTTACACTGGACGACATCCTCCTATCAGCACGCCCACGTGGCAGGCTGGTAAACATGAGCTGTGTTCTCTGGCTGCCACGAGCCCTGCCAAGGCCCTTTGGGGTAATGCTTCAGTTAATGATTTACCCATCCTTTACAGCCGATCAGGCAGACCCCTGCAAATTCATGGCATGTGACAAGTTTTCCGAGTGCGTAATGAACGAGTGGACAAAAGAAGCCGACTGCCTTTGCAAGCCTGGCTATGCCAGCCAGGATGGATTTCCCTGCCGGAGCCTGTGCGAGCTGGAGCCCCATCTCTGTGTCAATGGTGGGAAATGTGAGCTGGTTCCAGGAAGAGGAGCTGTCTGCAGGTAAATAGATTGATGAATTCTGTTAACAGCCCCATAAACTCTGCTAGCAAGTCAAAACCTCGCCATTCAGATGCTGTAAGTCACATTGCAAATACCCTTCTGAAGTATAAATAGCCTCACCATGGATAAATCCATTTCTGCCGTCTAGTATACACAGAACATTATATCTAGTTATTTTTAAAGACACTTTAGAAATTCAGCATCATTGGTAGAGATAACACACACAAAAACATGCATTCCCTTTCAAATTTCCAAACACATTTTGAAAAATTAAATAACACATTCACAGTTTTGCTACTGACTACATGGTTTTAAGAAATTACATTTTTCTAAGATGCTTTAAAAAGGAAATCTTTATTCCTATAGACTGTGATTCCAGGCCACCCAATAAAGCACATGAAGGCTGAAGCTGCTTTCAGGGCTTTCTGGGAAAGACATGAAGATTAGCAGCTCTTCCTCACTGCAAATATATTCCTTAAGGATTTTTAAATTTATCTTGGGTCAGTACTGAGAACTACACAGTACTTGAACATTTTAACTCTCTTTTACAAAGTATCACATTTCTTCTCATTTTAAGACTAGACAATTCAGAGCATTATGTGAAACTGTATACCAGATTGGCACACAGTAGCTGAGCAGCCATGTACATAAAGCAAGAATCAAGTTACAATTCTTGCATTTGTTTATTTTCTCTTAATACTTTGATTAGATTAATAATAGGTATTTTACCTTACTTAGGGTTAGCATCCAAAACATAAGACCACTGGACAAATTATTCAAATTATTCATTGTAACAGCTCAAGTACCAAAATTAATTTTCTTCAATGGGCATCACAAAAATTATATTGAATTCAACACATTACTGCCAAATTCCTGACTTGCAAAGTAGAGCAGCTGCAGCATTTAGTACTAGAAATCAGCCTGTGAGCTAGAAAGGTCCTCTTCAAAACTTTCCTGAGGTAGCCAGGGATCCAACCTACTCCTCCAAGACTGATGTACTAAGGAAAATAACCCTTTTCCCTTTCAGAAAAACCCTGACTAGATATACAGGTATAACCAAACGGTCATGAGGAATTATAAAAATATTAAAAATAATAAATGAACTTTTTTGTGAACTATAGCAAGGCACAAATTCTCACCAGTGTCAGACTGACAGCTTGTACAAACTTGTACAGTCAGACAAGTGGCCTACTATTTGCATTTGTGCTCCATGTAAATTCACTTTCTCCTTGTTTTGAAAGAAGATTGGAATCCTGCTATTTGTAATAGAACTCTTATTTCCAGACCTTGCTCCCCAGAGTGAAATCACCAGTAAAGAGAACATAGGCTTCAAAGATGTGTTCAGACGTTACCTAAAAACACACCTGATCTTCTAAGGTTCTAAACCACAAATGTTATGTATGGGGTTAGAAATTTGTCAGAGATATTTAAAATTCATTATTTCCTTAAAATTTGTACGTCAGCAAGGAATATACCAGTGTATTTTTATTTAAAACTCACTCTCACAAATGTAAAAATATTATCTTTCCCTATCATCAATCACATTTTTTCATGCAGACACATAACAATTATTTGTAGTGGAAATAATGAGTTCATATTACATTTCTTTTTTGTTTAAGTTACTCAGTATTTTTTGCCTTGAAGTTCTGTACATTTTTTCTCTTCCTTTCCTTATTTTAGATGCCCCGTACGTAGACACCAGCTTTACCAAGGACAGCGCTGTGCAAAATTTGGTCCAGAACCCATACAACCCTTCACTTTTAAACCTCTCATTCTTGGCTTAGGAAGCCTTGGTTTTCTTTTCATCATTTTAATTATTAAGATAAGAAGAAAATGCAAAAGAAACTCTAATTTGCAGTAAGCTGCTCACAATCTTTTCCTTCACATTTCAAACTATTCCTTTTGTTTCTTTTGCAATTTAAAATCTTACCTAAACAAAAATGTTCTGCATTGTAGAAGTCCTACTCTCAGCAGCTGCAATTCAGAAAATGCTGTGAGGATTAATCCTGCTTTTGAACACGATGAGCCCCTATCTAGTTTTTGTCACACGGCTTGCAGTGTAAGTGCTTGTCTCAGTTCCTCAGAGATCCTTGATCACGAAGCATTACATGAACTTGAAAACACAATTCAGCCTGGAGGTAAACTGCATGGAAATCCCTTCCTTATCCCTAACAAAAAAGCCCCATCTGAAATAACAGGTCCACCTCCATGTATTAACTCCACAATTAAATCAAACTCAAAGCTACTTTCTTGCTTGGCAATTTCAGAACTGAAACTACTAATGCATTAATTTCCTTTCCACATTTACGGCAGTGTAGGTTTCATCACAGGACTGTAGAACTGCTTTTTCTTACACCTCTCTTGCATGGCTCTGGCAGTCTATCCTACCTGAGTACTTTTAGTCATTTAGAAAAATAATTAGTGGTTTGGCTTTTTTTTTACTCTTGTAGGTCACCAGATGAGTTTACAAAACCAAGACTGACAAGTTAGTCTCTGGAATTCTTCATTTCCAGCATCAGCCAGACAAAACCAAGGTTTGTGACTATTTTCAAGAACCTTAAAAATCTGTTATTTCCCACTGTCAGTGTTACCAGGGAGCCTCTTTGTATTAATTCCATACAAAGAAAAGCTCAGATTTTTTGGATGCTTGATATGACAACAAAGTTCTATTTCTGCATAACCATGTGCTAATGTGGTTATATGAAAACTTGGACATGTGAAGGAAGAAGAAACACCTGAAATGACATATTAACACAAAATGCAGTCCAAAGGGGAGGTTTAAATAGCAGTACTAGATCACTTAAAATCTCAGATCACTCAGTCTGGTTAAGCTACAGACAGTTTGACAAGTATGAATTCTAATTTGAGCAGAATACTGCTCATATCTCAAGTATTATTTCAAGCTCTGCAATTTCAAACCCGTTGTAACTTTGCGGGGGGGAAAGACAGAAAGGAGAAAAGCCAAGTCAAAGATTCCTCTAAAATTGGCAGATGTTTCTGATGTATCTGAGTCCTCTTGATAGGTACAAAAAAAAGCTTTGACTTTGCCATTTTTATTTTCTGAATTACAGCCCAATTAGGAACAAAACGGTTTTGCTACAGCTGTTAGCACCCATTATTATTAGAGGGAATATCAGTACAGGAATGCCCTTGGCACTAGAGCCAGACATTATGGAAGACAGGATACCAACTACGTGAATCTTGGGCTCCTTACATGTTTATTGCTATGTAAATAAAGGAACGAGCAAAGATAGCATACAGAAAGATTTATTGTCACTGATCTTCATCATACCCAGGTCTGGTCTGTTCAAGTCCTGTGGCCACAGTTACAGACTGTGCTGAAAATGGGAGGACTACAGAGATGGACATAGACAGATATGGACAAAGCAGAAGGGAGTAGCAGTTTGGAAAAGCTTAAGAATGAACTCGTTTCACTGTCCATAAAAGCAAGAGCACAGATGTTTGCAATTACTATTTTACATACACCTTAAAAGAAATGTGCCTGTGGGCACTGTAGACCAATCAACTTTCATAAGAGCTAGACTACTTAAAATTACTACATAGAAAAGCATTATATATTTTATTAAAGTAATAAAATGGCACATCTGTTAAAGAAAACCAGGTCTGTGTCATCTAGGCCATATTTGAACTGTCAAAAGTACATTGACAAAGCTCTTCTCAAGATCTAGTAAAATAAATTAATTTAGTGAGAAATCCAGCAACCACAAAATTGAAATGGATTTTAAAAAATTTAGGTGGCTATTTTCCACTTTTATTCTACTTAAGGTCATCGTGAATGTTTACATCACTCTTAGATTCAACTTGAACTGAATTTTCAGGAGGATGTGGCTATCTACAGCTTATAGGCCAAACTGAAAATTCAGTATTTAAATTCTGGTTTGCAATACGTAGTGACAGCAATGACAGCTTTCTGGGATGTATTATCTAGAAGAAGTACAGCTCTGCATTTATAAAGGCATATATGAAAATAGGCATAAAGTTCCAGTAGAAGCTAAAATAACATTCAAAAACCTTCCCAAATATGAAAAAATGTCTCCAGTTTAGTTATAGAATCACTGCATGGAAAATTATTGCAAAACTTACTTATCAGAGGGGGTTTTGATTGGGTGGAGTTTTACCCAATTAGTCATTAACAACCTTTAACCTTTAAGAATGCTGCATCCACAATTTCTCTGGGCAATCTCTTCCAATGCCTCACCACCCTCACAGTTAGGAATTCCTTCCTTACATCTAAGCTAAATCTCTTTCAGTTTAAAGCCATTCCCTCTAGTCCCATCACCCACTGCCCTTGCAAAAAAGTCTCTCCCTCCTTCTTGGGCCCCCTTTAGGTACTGAAAGGCCACTAGAGGGTCTGCCTGAAGCCTCTTCTTGAAGCACGATTCTTAAAATGAACTACAGTTCTCTTAACAGATATAACTGTGACCTTGCCTATTAGCTATTAGATAAATAGTACATTTTCAAATTCAACAATACTTTTCAAATGTCTTACAGGACTTTCTCTTATAGGTATTCAAGAAAGAAGGTCTGCATTATTCAAGATTAGACTGCAGGATGAGTATGGAAAAAAAAAAATCAAGGATTCCTAAAGATACAATATTTTGGCTCTAAAATCAGTGCACATTAAAAGAAATAGTTTTACTGAAGGAAAGAAAATGACCAAGTTGAGCAGCTTCTGAGCATGTCTAAAATGCCTGGTAGGAAGTCCCCACTATTAAGATGCATGCGTTAAGCTTCTGGTGCTTACACATCTTAATTGTTTTATTTAAGAGCTGAGTGCTAGAAACAGATTTTGCTGAGATGTGACATTTTTCAATATTTTATGTTACAACGATTCTGGTAAAAAATGTCAATGGAACTTCAGTGCATTTCTACAGCCCTTTATTTACCTTCCTTACACACACTGATGCAAATGGTGAATGAAAATAAGAACTCTCATTGACCAAAGGCTACATTCAAAGCATTTGGGAACTTCATTCCCTCCCTGAATGCTCACACTTCAAATCATACAGAAGTTGAATTTTTCAAGGGTTTCTATGAACATCAGATTCCTATTTTTCTGTTAATTAATACATCATTTTTACATATGTACATATTCATTTAACTGTTTAATTTCTGGTGACAGTGAAACTATCAGGATATCCTAAGACTTCCAACTTTTTGCTGAGGTACAGTATGTGAAGTTTCATCTTTTCAGAACACGAGATTTATATTCACAACCACCTTCCTGGTAGTGAGTAGATTAGAATTACACATGAGCACCTACACTTCAAACTCAGTATCCACACAAATAATTTTGAGAGGCTACTGTTAGGTTTTTGTAGGAGAAATCCAAGCAGAGAGCAGGTGGCCATTAAGTATTTTGTAGGCTTATTAATTTATGCACTATGAATCCACAATCCTGTTTCAAGTACAAGCATTATTTTACCTTGAGTATCTTTTTCCTGAGTTTGTATTTATATTCTGCACCAGTGTTGTGTTCAGGCACTGGTTTGATGCTTGGTGCACACCAGAAGTCATATTTACAGCTCAAACTGAGCTTCTAGACAAAGTTCATGACTATCCTGGATGACAACTCCTTATCCAGATGTGAAACTTTCATGTATTCAGGACAGCAGCTGATTTTAGTGACAATTCTTACTTCGTAATGTGCAGTTACCACAGCAAAGACTGAACTTTAGTTTAGCTTCACAAGTCTGCTGAAAAGAACTGTTTACGAATTCCCAACAACTGCACAGATTTGCCTGCAAAACCACCGGAACTGGTGACTGCGTACGAATGAAGGCAATGCACCAAGAATACAAGGTCGAGTTTCTACAGCTGAAATAGTCTTTTTATTTACTTTATTTAAGTAGGAAACAAAAATAAAGAAGAAACATAAGATGTGGTTCTACACAGTAAGACTTCAGAATAAAATTACTTTAAAAGTACTTTTTGCAGGGCACTGGAAGTCATCCTTGCCTACAAATGCTAGCTTTTTACTGTTGCTCATGTAAGCTAAGAATGCATTAAGAATGCTGATAGCATTCCATTTTTTTCCATTACAAATGTATTTTTGTATGTGTTTAGTGTACTTCAACTTAAACTAGTTATCATTAGCCAGATTTAAAAAAAAAATAATTTTAAAATGTGTATTTTAATAATGGTTATTCATGATTGTATTTATCACTCTCAACTATTAATTACCAAATATATTTGCTGGACGTAAACCTTTTGTATTTCAATAAAACATAATAAAATTATTTACTTGAAAATTTCACAGGGAATTGAAGCAGTACCTAATCTTACACTAAAATTCATCGTGTTACTTTAAAACTGATGTAAAGTTGGAGATAAAAGTCATAAGGAAACTGAAACAAAATTACATTTCCTAGATAAAGTATGAATTACTTGAATATTTTTAAATTAAAAAACTACCACTCTGATTTGGCCCTTAAGATGAGAAAGTTCCCTAAGACTCTAAGGGGAACATAAGCAAACAAAACCCCACAAAAACAATACTACATCTCCATCCCAAACATAAAGCCTCCCCCACAGCACAAACATTCAAAGCAGCAGTTGGTGTCACCAGTCACTGACTGACACAATCTAAAATTAAAAGGATGCAGAGTACACAGCATAGCAAATGACAGACATATTGGAAGTGATAGAAATAAATGTTAAAAAAAGTAATAAAAGCAAAAAGGCATTTGTTTCAATAAATACTCAGAAATTAAGTATGAGATTTAAGATAACAAAATCAAAATTTTCTAATATCAGAATGCTATTCTGAAGGAACACTTACCTTAGAAAGTAATGACAAAATCTCTACTAGAATAAAGCTTTAAAAAGTTTTTAAAGCATCAAAAATGTCTCATGGAAAAGCAGCAGACAGTACCAGCAAAGGAATATTTTTATTTTTCTAGTAACTTAATTAACCCTTATGCTTCAACTCTTTAAAGACAAAAGAGTAAGAAGATACAAGTATGATTTCAACATGGAATGTGTTTATTTTTAATTTTCAGTACAGTATTAGGAGGTCATTTAAATACTTAAAATAAAGATTTTTGAGAAAAACCCAGAGGATTTAACTAGGTAAATAAAAACACAATCTTATCAATGGATAAAAGACAAGTATTCAATGACCTTAGGATCTTCAGAGTAGCATTCTCAAGAAAATGCATATCCTGGGTCACTTAGTCAGAAATGTAGCTTAGTGTGGTGATTCTCTTCCTCTCCCCTTTGTTTTGTGGAGCATTTTAGACAGATCTCAACTATAATGGACAGCTTCACTGACAGGCAGGAAGATTTTTTATTTTTTCTTTTTTTTTGTTAATTAAACACGCAGAGAACCAAGCCAATATGCTTTAAAAACCTGATTATAATTTTCTCTGTAATTGCAATCAGAAGGGCATCAGGTCATCCTAAGTCCTAAAGAACAACCCTCTCCCCTCCTTTTAGATTTCCTCTCCAAATCAACCGACTATAATTATCTGACACAGTAAAAGGGACCATGGAAACAACTGGTAAGCAGTTAAATATTGCCAGACACGTAAAAAAAATAAAATAATCTGAAACTAACTGAAAATTAATTTTGTTTCACAAAAAGGTAAGTAAAACTAAGAGCAGAAGCTGCTTTTGGTGCAGAGTGAAAAAAAAAAGGAGAAAATAAAGCAGCCTGCTACTGTGCAAACTAGAACATCCTGATTTCTGGAATGCATCTTCTGCTTCCCTCAGGCATACTTCTGGAGCAATGCTGAGGTGGGATGATCTCATTTGAGATGTCCAGACACCAGATCCTCTTACACTATATCCAAGTCCATTTTATTTTCATATTTCATATTTTCAAATATTTCTTATTTGTTAATCATTTTGTAAAGAAAATTTTCCATACACCCCATTCAGAAGAAAAAAATTTCTTTCCAATGCAAGTCAAGGAAATCCTAATATAACTAAAGGAACAGAGTGGAAAAATTCAGTTGATTTTGAAGTTCCCTGCAGGTATGTTTACACACATACATCCTACAGTATTTAAGCACATATATGTGTATATACCTACACACACATAAGCATTTGAGGTTCTTTGCATACTATGTTCAGTCTCATAAGATCCATGGATTTCTAAAGATATGTACACTGAGATGAAATGTGTTAAGTCAAGCAGCTAAACCCAGACAGAAACAAACACAGGTCAGGTCAGTGATTTTTCTTCCTTGGATCACATGAGTGAGCACAGCTTCTTGCAGTGTTAAGTGTCCAGGGACTGGAAGTTGTCATATTTTGGTCCCAATGCACAAACATTACACATTAATTACACATTAAACTAGTAATCTAAATTGTGTAAGCTGCACCTTTAAGCTCACACAGGTTTGCACAGAACTTTCCAGCCAGCACTGTGATGCACTTCTCCTTTCATTTTCCAGCCAAAAACACTGTTTCAGTGAAGAATTTGGGTAAAATTAAAACAATTTTGTCATTTGCAATCACATGACCAGGAAGTAGAGCTGGTCTGCAGCAGAAGCTGAGATTCCCTGACACAGTGGGTGTGTAGAGAGTTAAATACCACTTGAATATCTCCACATTATTCCTGTAAGGAGTGCATTTGTAAAAGCAGACTGTGGCACACAACCACAGTCTAAAGTCAGCAAGAAGCTTTCTCTGTGCTACAGAACCACCCTTCTTGAAAATTAAGCGTATTTGTACATTTAAAAACTAAAGTTTCCAAGAGGTTTCATGCTGAGTAAGGAGTGAGGAAATTATTTTATACTGTAAGCAAACTGTCAATTAAAAAGGGCAAGAATTAATTTTTAAATCAGGTTATGTAACTGGACATCAAGCTACTTATATTTTGAATTTCTATCAGAGAGATAACAAACAGTCATGTTTAATTTGTTGGAATAATGGCCAGCAAGGTAAAGCAATGTTCACATAAGTGAAAGAGATGCATCTTAAAACTGTATGAAATTAATGATTCCCACCCACAAAAACTCCCCAGACAAACTGCTTAATAAGAGTACTGTTACAAGCCATGAAACTTGAGAGGAGATTAATATACAGCTCAGCATCCAAATCACTATGATATTCCAGTACACTAAAAACTGTAGCTACTTCATCAGCACATAGTATTAAGATGCACTATCTTATTGGACCAGTTTTTAACACAGTCTAACAGTGTATATCTTGTTACAGTTAAAATAAAGAGGATTTCTGAGGCTCAGGCCTCAATATGCAGTTAAGTTATACTGCCAGCAAAAAGCTGAACATATTTCCCTTAATGCTATCCTTAATCTTATATACCTTCAGATACAAGGCTCGGACAATTTTGTGTAATATATTGAAATTACACTATCTGGCTAAACAAACTGTCCAAGAATTGCTAATGGAAATGTGGTCAGAAAAATAAAGTCTAAAGCAGATTTGTACTAAAGAGGAAAAAAAAAAAAAAAAAGAATCTACAAGAGAAGTGGTATAAGCCCTAAAGAGCAGTACATTCTTTAAGAACCTCCAATATTACACTATTTTGACATATATGAACGCTTTTCTTGGAATGTACAGAAAACCATTTCTCTTAAACCAAGACAGAC